AGACGGAATATAATCTCGCACTAGGGTACAATTATAGTTCCTTAAACACAATACCAATTTTTGTAATGCCCGAAAGATTGTGTAAATGCTTAAACTTAATTTTACTCTATCTAGAGCTCCAATTAACTACAAACAACACGTTTCACTAAAAAAAAAGTCGTTGCAGAGTTTGCTAAAAATATATTGTTCAAATGAACAAGAAGTAAGTTGAACATAGGCTACACGAAAAAAATACTAGGTAATTTTTTTTTCTTTCTCAAAAATGTTTAACATTTGTACATGAAATAGACAAAAGAAACCAACAGAAACACAAATTCAATTACTTGCATGTGTATATCGGGCAACATTTTGAGCTGGTACCACTACACTTTTCAAATACTCCCAGGCAATTACTGATGGTTTCAACACAAAATAGAAGGAGAACAAATAGGATATAAAATCAAACTGTGTATAAAGCAATAGGAAACTTTTTAGTAGTGTAGTCAACATATTATAAGAAGACAGGGCAACAATAAGTAGTTAAAGACAGGGGTGGACTGGACCGCCGGGCCACAAGAAAAAAAAATATGTGGGTCTCTGCTTTAGAGATTGGGAGGGGGGAGGGAATGAACGTAGCTGTGTAGTAATTTTATTGCTTGAAGTTTTTAAATTTGACTTGCCAGGTAAATTTTTATCTAGAATAAGATGATCTTCAGACGCTGGTGGGAAAAAAATGAAAATACAAATTTAAATCTGGGGTTGGGGTCTTTTTTTAAACTGCCCGGGCCTCTTAGCCAGTCCAAACCTGGTTGAAGATGTGAAAAAAAAACATACCGGTTCTCTTGCTGTTCCGCTATAAAATGTTAAATAAAAACACATACAGTTTAGATGTCAAAGAAATGGATGTTTTGTATAATACGAGACTTAAAATTGAAATAAAGCGTATTGCTTTTGAAAACGTTTCCTTATCATACAACAAAGTATTAAAAAAACTAAAACCTTACAAACGTACCTACACATACACACTTGATATATATATATATATATATATATATATATATATATATATATATATATATATATATATATATATATATAGAGAGAGAGAGAGAGAGAGAGAGAGAGAGAGAGAGAGATAGAGAGAGAGAGGGAGGGAGAGAGAGCGAGAGAGTTAGTAAATGTCTTGAATGGGATCTCGGTTTGAACTTAAAACAATAGGACGTCACTGAGTCCACCCAGCTTGGATGAGTAAATGAGTTACGTAAAGGCGACTGGGCACAGTGTTTACCCAGCCATCACTTCATGTGCAAAAATCAAGCGATTGAACTCTACTTCTTAAATGATCGCTACGTGAAATTATCTTACTTTCATATCGGGTTTTAAGTACTGCAATAGACATGCACGCAGTAATTCACGAAGGTAATTATATATATAAATATATATATATATATATATATATATATATATATATATATACACAATATCATTTGTATATATAAATTATTAAACATTCCCGATACACCAACTTTTAATCAAATACTACATCTAGGAACATTATGTCCTCCTTCCAAGCGAGAAATAAAAAGTAAATAAAGAACATGATATGTACAAAGCAGCCGGCCTAGATAGTTTACTCAACTAATAGTGAAGTATAATTCTAGCATTGCTCCTAAGGGGCTCCTGAACAATATATTTACATAAGTCAACGTATACTAATACAACATGTTATCATACTACCTCTGTTGTTCAACATGAACGAAGTGGCTGTTGCAAGCATTACCATCAGGAACACACCACCTTTAATGTTCAACATGTTCGTGTTTTCACTTCGACAGCTTCGCACAGAATGCTTAGGTAGCGTGGCTTGATGGCAGTCGATATGCAATTTATTTTAACTTCACAGTAATAAAAATTATTGGTTTTACAACGTTTATGTTGATGAAATCAGGAAACCTAGTTCTCATATTGTTCAACTGAAAGGGTACATGGTGTTTTTTTCATTCCAAAGTTAATAGAGAACCTATGGGGATATTTTTACATTTAAATGCTAACATTTCGCATAATATGGAGCTTGGTGTGTTAACATTTCTCTAAAAAGCGAACCTTTCTCATTACAATCCTGGGGATTGACGCGCTTGCGTACAATTTATCATGTAAAAAGAAACGGTGTTGTGAAAAAACAAATAAATAGATGGAATACCATTGATATAAATCTGATGTATAATGATTGTTAAACTAAGTAGGCATTGTGGGCAATTTGTGTCCTTAAGTTAAATATATAGACCTATATATATATATATATATATATATATATATATATATATATATATATATATATATATATGTTTGTGTGTGTGTGTGTGAGCAGAGGTGTTCAGTGTCGTATGGCTATAGGGTAAACCCACTGTCCACTATTCTCAGTGAGTACACAACGTATGGACAGCACATTGTCCAACGGTCGCCTCCTGAGATATAGTGCCTTTAGTTCAAAATGTAACATATTTACTTTTAAAACACAGTGTTGTGTTGTATGTTAGATATACACGCTGGTTAATCTTTAAGTAAAATTCTATAAATTACTAGGTGATCAAAGGGCAGATTAAGAGGGACCTTTAGATTTAGAGGTCTTCAAATATGGTTTTACGTATTACAATTATATTTCCGTCAGACTTTTGTTTTATGTAAATTAAGTGATCGTTTGAATTTGAATGTTTAATTGACAAGCTATTATATTTACGACATAAAAACCACACATACATGAGTTACTCCCCATAAATAAACATTAAAACGCACCATCTACTTCAATATAAACATCGGCTGTCATCGCTTTCTTCTAAAATCTCTTTACATAAAACGACGCTCCATAAATATTATAATCTTAATTTCTGGAACACAAATCAACCAGTTTTAAGGATGACTCTTAAAAAACAGACTATAAAACATGTTCTATTTGAATACCTCCTTTTATGAATAACCCGTTTAATAGTTAACAAAACAAGGACCCGCTAGTGATAGGTGAAGACTATTGCGCTTTAAACCAAACATAATTTTAATTTCTTTTACACCTACTGGTCCGGCTATTTGCATCGTTCAAATCACTACGTTAATAAGATTTAACGTGTTTCTAATGTTAGGCCTAGTTATTTGAAATGACAGGTTCTTTTTATGTATTAAATTCATTAGCATTAAACGTAACCTAGACGCCAGGCGGGAGCTTCAATGCTACGACTAGTTTTATCTCATAAGCATAGAACATTAAGTGATAAAGTCATAACTCATTGACAGTCACGGATTAATGGACTGAACAGGAGGCCACCAATTTGCTGTTAACGAACATCGTTAAAAATTTCCTATCAATTTTTTTTGTTGTTTACAATTTAAATGATTGAATGTTGTATGTCCTCACCAGACAAGTTATTTCCTCTTTATTATGTGCGTGCTTTTTAACAAATAAATTACAACATAATCAAGCAAGATTTTAAAGGCACTGTAGTTGCAATAGCAGGTGAAATTTTCGGGAAAGGGGGGGGATGGGGAATAAAATTTCCGGGGGTCGAACACTGGGAATAAATCGTGTATTTAACTAAAATCATCCTGTCGAATAGTTTGCCAACGTCGTACTAGTCAGAACTCTATGAGGAACACTAAATTGGCTAGAGGCGAACTTGATGGTTATCTAACCCTCTCAATGCAATCTTCATGATTGTTCCAAGTAGAGTGGTTCAAGGTATTCTTTGAATTATTTTATCTTCTGTCGACTACACAAGGTATTTTTTCGTCCCTTCTAAAGAGATGTGTTATATAGATGTATTTCTTTCTTCTTTCCTATATAGATTTTGAGACCGTAGATTCTTCATGGATACAGGACATTACCCCCCCCCCCCCCAGGAAATTACCCCCCGGACATTCCACCCCCCCCGTATTTACCCCACTGTCAATTACACCCCCCCCCCCCGCCGGGGAATTCCCCCTTCTCAAGTTAGAATCATAACTCTAACTAGAATTCTATACCAATATACTACTTTAATCCAAACTTTAAGAAAAAGACCGAAACCTAAGCATCCACCTTAGCCTAAAACTTCACACAAAACCAAAACCAATGCTAGACATTGGTTTAAGCCTAACGCTAAACCTAACCCTAGCTCTAACCCTAACGCTAGCCCTAAACCTAGCCTTAACCCTAACCCTAACTCTGTCCGGGGGGGGGGGTAATTGACAGGGGGTAATTACTCCGGGGGGGGGGGGCAATGTCGGGGGGGGGGGGGAATGTCCGGGGGGTAATTGACAGAGGGGGAAATGTCCTGTTCCTATTCTTCATATGTTTGTGCGGATACTCAAACTTCAGTAGTATAGAAAATACAGAGACAAGAGTTAACCATATGTCAACTCACTAGTTAATACACACACCCACACACCCACGTATATATATATATATATATATATATATATATATATATATATATATATATATATATATATATATATATATATATAGGTGAACTCTAATTCACTTGCCCCGTAATTATTTAGTATCTGCTTCAAATAAATTATGTATTAAATCAAAGTTGCGTTGGCTATCCTGGTGATTAATTGTAAGCTTGGTGTTGAAAGGCGAAATTAGTATAGACATGTTGGCTTTGGCTTTCTTTTGTGTGTGATGTTGGTTGTTCTGTTTTTGTTACCCTTGCACTCTCAGAAAGCGCTTTTTGTGGTTTGTTGATCAACTGGGGCTGTATATCTTCAAATGTATGTTCTGTAACATTTAACATAACATTTGAACGTTACAATGGTAAATATCGAAAATAATACTGAACGTTTTTTATTAATAAAATAAGAGCAACTCTACAATAAGCAACATAGTAGACTTAAATACATGTGAGCAATATTGACTTACCTTCGTTTCCTACAGGAGGCTGTGTATAATTATTCATTACTTGCATGTTGGTAATTAGAGCAAGAGGAGTTTCTGTCCTACATGTACTGGAATAAAGTTCGCTATTTTTTAATAATTCTTCTTATACCAATATAATTATGTGCATTATTTAGCTTTTACACCGATTTCAGCCTGCTTTACTTTTTGTTTTTAATTTCAAAACCTTTCTACAACCAAGGCAAACTACAAGGAAATAGTTGTTAGATTTTGGGTTGTCTCTCATCGAACAGTTGTTGTCCCCAGTAATAGTATATCATGTGCCCGAGGGTTCGAACTCGAGACTTCTCGGTTAAGCAAACATGAGCTTTACCGACTTGATCACGCCGGTTGGTCATATATAAAAAGGCTAGAAACTTAATTGGAAGACATATATATTTTTTGGATTGTGTTTTGGAAATGATGTTGGTCATATTTAAAAAGTCTAGAAACTTAATTGGAAGACATATATATTTTTTTGGATTGTGATTTGGAAATTATGTCGGTCATATATAAAAAGTCTAGAAACTTAATTGGAAGACATATATATTTTTTGGATTGTGATTTGGAAATCATGCTTGTCAAACAATTTGTTTCAGAATCCGTAATTTAATCTACGTCTAAACGTCATTTACCTTGCATTTCTTTTAGTAGCTGATCTTGAGTTGACTATACGTGTTGTTATAATGATGATAACAAAAAAAATAACAGCCAATGCTCCCGTCGTGGTCCCTAAAATCAGGCCAATGTTAGTTTCGGCTGTAACATTTCAAACAATTGGTAGCCATTCGAAACGTTATACACGATGTTCGAATTAACTTATAATTTAAATGAAATTTGCTTCAACAAATGTATAGCTTACCATCGGGGTGTGTTGTTTTAAAACTACCTTGAGTTTGTTCACTTTCATCACCAACATAATTGACCGCTTTTATGCTGTAATTGTATTGTGTGTCTGCTTGAAGATCTGATAGTTCGACTTCAGGGGAGGAAACTGTAAAATGTTGTAACTTAAGTTCTGATTCTAAAGAAAACTTGTAGTGATCTACCCTGCCTTCAGATTGTTGAAATCTTATGATGTAAGGTGGTTTATCTAGTTTACTAGCAGTAGTAACCAAACCTGGTGGGGAAGGGTCTTAAACGAAAGTATACAAATAAACGTCAAGAAGTTGTAAAATCCCTAGCCATAGCCCTAGCCCTAGCCCTAGCCCTAGCCCTAGCCCTAGCCCTAGCCCTAGCCCTAGCCCTAGCCCTAGCCCTAGCCCTAGCCCTAGCCCTAGCCCTAGCCCTAGCCCTAGCCCTAGCCCTAGCCCTAGCCCTAGCCCTAGCCCTAGCCCTAGCCCTAGCCCTAGCCCTAGCCCTAGCCCTAGCCCTAGCCCTAGCCCTAGCCCTAGCCCTAGCCCTAGCCCTAGCCCTAGCCCTAGCCCTAGCCCTAGCCCTAGCCCTAGCCCTAGCCCTAGCCCTAGCCCTAGCCCTAGCCCTAGCCCTAGCCCTAGCCCTAGCCCTAGCCCTAGCCCTAGCCCTAGCCCTAGCCCTAGCCCTAGCCCTAGCCCTAGCCCTAGCCCTAGCCCTAGCCCTAACCCTAACCCTAACCCTAACCCTAACCCTAGCTGTACCTTAAACTATGTCCGGCGGGGGGTAATCGACACGCGGGTAATTAATCCGGGGAAGGGGAGTGGGGTTGGGGTAATATCGGGGGGGGGATGTCAAGGGTAATTTACGGGGGGGGGGGGGTAATGCCCTGTTCCCTTGTTGTATATATTTAAATAACTTATTATAAGATAAAGTAAATCAACATTATTTTAAAGTTAAAAATACGGTGCTGTTTACTCTAAACTACTGGACTGAGGCAACACACCAAATTGCATTGCCACACACCATTTACACGCGCACACAAACAAGTACAAACGTGTTGACAGACAGCCCATGTCACTAGTGGTGAACACTAGGCAACGGGATCGGTCATTACGCTCAAACAACGTGCTCCTTTTTCATCCCCCTCACGCATTCACTAAAGTTACGTATCTGATGATGTACTCACCAGAGACGCATGACATTGTACAGGAGCTGTATGACGCACCACACTGTGTACTGGTACAAATACCCGTGACACATTGAGAGCCGTACGTACAGTGCTGCCCGTAGCCAATCAAACCAGGGGATTGTGGGTTGCAGGTTTGACAAGAGCATTTGTTTGATAGCTAATTGAATGTAGGATGATTATAAACTATGACACAATATACGTGGTAAACAGAGTTGTGAATTCTTAAAGCAATTAATTCGGAGATCGGAGTCCTTTTTATTATACTCTCAGTCAATTTACTAGAGAAGATTTTTCAGCAGCCGTTTAAAAAAATGGATAATTAAATTTACAAACTGTTATAATTGCCAAGCAGAGGCGTCGCGAGGCGGGGGCGGGGGTGTGAACCGCACCGGGTGACACCATTTTGGGTGAGGTGATACCTAGACAAAATAAAAAAAATATATAGAAAAAAATGTTTGTTTTTTTTCTAGTTCAATCAATTAATTAGAGTTAAATAAGTATTTTAAGTACAAATGGACGATCCCGACAAGTTGATGTGTGTGTGTGTGGGGGGGGGGGGGGATGACACTATGACGTAGGCTTATACATGCTTACTATTGAGAAAACTCAGCGCTACAACTATATTAATAACCGACTATGGATAAACATCGTTACTATTAACTGAAAACTTTAAAGCTACCACACGAGTTGGTGGGGGGGGGGGGGGGTGTGATACCAACTATTAAATTTAAAGAGGAAATAAAAGTTTGATTGAATAATTTCAATAACTCATTCATACCATACTTACAAACAAGAAGCTCCAAAAAAGAGATACGAAAACAGACATGACTAAATTGTAATTCATTGTTGCCACCGCTCCAACAGATTTATCAACTCTAGTTTATAAAAAAGTTTTACACTACGGTTTTTAGACAGGTTTTATTGCGAGAACTTACGTTACAAGTAAAACATTAAAAAACAATACTTAAGAGCGCTACGCTTTGGCGGAAAATAGATATCAGATATCTGAATCTTTTCGTTTAATCGTCATGAATTTCAAAGTGGGAAAAACCCTCTGAATTATTTATAAAAAACAATCCTGTTTCATTAGCTGTTTACAAATAATTTCTGTTGTTTATCAGGCATCATCAGCATACAGTGCATTGCTCCATTTTTAGCAAGTTTTATAGTGTGTTGTCTTCATTACTTTGTAAATGTAATAATATCGTTTTTATTCTGTTTAAACAGACTGTGTAGTAGGGAATTTGTTCTGCTTTTTAAGGATTTTAAAATATTTTTTAATGTGATACTAGAGAGAGACTTCTTTCTTCTTCGTTCTTAATTTTTAGTGTTTGGAGGGATCGAGCCTTATCTGCCAGAGGGTTTGAACTCGAGACTTTTTTTCGAATGTATCAACCATGAGCTTTGCCGACTCGACCATGCTTCCATCACAATTAAGGATTACGTGTCAATTGGTTAAGCGCCATTAAGGCCATTGACTCCGATTTCAGCCTGCTTTTCTTTTTGGATTTGCTTCCATAGCCTTTGTCCAACCAAGGCATCAGTTGTTTGATTTTGGAGTTGTCTCTCCTAGAAGAGTGGATGTCCCCAGCTAACGAGCCTCATCTGCCCGAGAACGCTCAGACAAACTAAGTGACAGTCGGACAGACGGACAGACAGACAGACGCACAAACGGACAGACGGACATATGGAATAATGGACAGACATGGAATAATGGACAGACAGACAACAGACATTGATTAAAGGGAAATTGCCCCCAAGATGAGTTACTGTTTTTTTTTCTTACTTATTTCATGTTTAGCTTAATGTATTTTTAGGATACTTTAAAAATTATTTATCCTAAAAAAACTCGCAAGTATAACTTTTATGGAAATAACAGGGAATGATACAATTAAAAAAAAAGCTGTTCTGGATTATTTGTATTTAAACCATACCTGCCGGTCGTGAGGATTTAGAAAAAGTCGTGCTTGTTTAAAATGGTGGCGTGGCTTAGTATAATACGTGATTAACATTCATGTAAAGGGTTAAACGTTATAAGGCAAAGTGTCTTAAACTGCGGTATTATTATAACGTAAAATAACGTTAAAACTGGTACTAATAACTCTTTTTTTAGTAATTGGACTACTATTTTAACAATCAATTAATTGAAAAACAGCAAAATACTAACAAAGAAATAATTTTAGTAAGGCCTTATCAAGTTTAGTAGGTAAGTAATTTATTTTAGGCACTTCCCTTCCTAGTTTACTCAAATACATCGTGTAAATTCAGTGTAAAAAATATTAAATTAAAAAAAACGGCTTCTAATGCGTTGAGCATATTGTAGAAAAAGAAGAACGATTGTTTTATCTATTTATTTTTTTTATTTCGCTATAAAAAACTAAAGCATCTAAAACAAAACAAAAATGTTTTTTTGTGTTGAGTTCAATTATTTACCACGTATATTACAAAACAAAATAGGAAGCTTCCAGTTCAAAAGAGAAAATACTTTTAAAGGCTAGGACAACTTAATAATGGAAATACTAAAGGCCGGTTGGATATTTCAGTGTGGATGCCGTTAACGATCTGGCTACATGCCCTGGTTAGAACATTTAAAAAATGGAAAAAAAGGTATTTATTCAAGCGGAAGATTTACTCCATCATTGTAAGCTTGTAAGTAAGTAAAATGGAGTCGATTGAATAATACATCAATATACATGGATGATATAAAGCATAAGTATTTATTTATAGCTTTATAATCAGTTTCCCTGCATTTATTAAAACATATTTATAAAAAAATTGTTGTATTTAAATCAAGAGAAGAGTCTTTAGGAATAAATTGCTACATTAACACTCAGATGCCAATTGCTGACCACATATATACTTTATATGTCGAGATCAAGAAACATATGAACTCTACTTCGTCTGCACAATGGATCTTTTTTAAAACACTCAGATGAATAAAGGAAATTGTGTTAGACAATATAAATGTGAACATTTAGTTTCTTACAATTGTTTATAATAAGTAGGCCTATGTTTGAAATATGAGAAAAGTTAAAATATGTTCATTGTTTATATATGTATGTATTTTAAATACCGCTTTAATCGATCACTCCGTTTGCAAAGTTTATTGTAATATTAATATTAAATTGTCATAAAATGTGATGTTACTAATACTAGTTTTAAAATCATAGAAATTTTCTATGAAATTCGTGTTTAATTCGAGAACGCAAAGTTTGCGTAAACATTTTGGCTTTCATCTGTTGTTTGTAAACTTGCATACATGGCTTCTTGTGGGTCTGACTCGCTGGTTGATGAAGGGCGTATTTCATTATACTCATTTTCTGTTTCAGAGTAGCATACTCTATCTATAACATAAAACGATATATAATTAACCACATTCTACATTTAAAAAAAAAATAACTGCTCCTTACAGACACAAACACACGATGTGTTGATATCATAAATAAACTGGTTTTTATAAGCTAACTTTTAAAAGTTTTAAAATAATTGCTCATTTTGTAATTTTAAGTATAGGTTTGTGAAACAATAGCATGTAATTTAATGTCTAATCTAGAGTTGTCTTCAGGCTAATAAATTTAGATGCAACAGGGCCCAAATTAATAGTAATAGAGGTGGCACGATTAACACATGTTTCTCAGATTAAATTTAAAATATTTTAATCGGAATAATACACATGTTATTTTTTTTTTTTGCTTACAGAATGATCTTACGAACACTGAATGTAAAAAAATATAGTGGAGTTAAAATGCAAACACATTAGTTTATCTTAGTTACAATCTGATGTTTATCGTTTGTTATGTGCGTAGGTTAATCGCCTGTTCTAGACAACATAGTTATATCATATCGAGTCTATCTTGTAATGTAATATAATACATGTAATTAAACCCAATAAAAAAACTAATTTTCTTTTCAAAAAGCAACTAAACATTCGTTTTAAAACGCTTTTGATTGTAACCTCACTAGCTTTTAAACAAACCTAAAACAACAGGAAAAATAACAAAATGGTGAACTGATTAATGTATCTACCTGGTGGGGTGGTGTATTCGTTATCTGGTCGTACGGTGGTAGCAAGAGCAATAGGACCTTCTGTACATTTACTGCAAGAAAATATCGGTAAACACAGTAAAAACTATGTAGGCCTATACACAAACTGCTAAAATGTATTACACATGTTATATAGTACTGCGAGGCTGGTAAGTAGAGCGTGCATCCTCTAAACCGAATGTCTGGAGTTCCAAGTATGTAGACATTGCTGAGTGCACTAAGCATTTATTTTAATCTTACTCACATTAGGAACAGTAAATTCGACTAACCTTAATATTCACAATTAATAATGCTCACAAAATTCTGTGCTCTAAGTCAAGTGCCCCATTCACCGTCATAATCAAAAAAGTAACTTAAATTGTACACATGTACCATTAATTCACACATTAACTCATGTATATAATTCAGTTATCTCTGTGATTCATTGGTAGGGCAACGCTTTTAATAATACAGTTTGCTTCAGAATGCCTTAAGTTAATTAGATTAATCTTTACCTAGGATTTCGTTCAGCACCTGCACTTGTTCTATCCGCCTTTCTTTTTATCATGATGAAAACAACAACGACAATAATAAGAAAAACCAGTGAACCCATTGCGACACCAATAAGAAGTCCACTATCGAGATTGCCTGAAATAATTCGAAACGTTTACCTGCATTTTGATTAAAAATAAATGATAGAGATTAGTGTCTTCACAGTGTTAAAGCTGAATTATATAATTTGAAATTAACTTACCATTCGTGTTTGCTGTTTTAAAAATACCTTTTACTTCCTCACTTTTATCACCGACAGAATTGACAGCTGTAATGCTGTATTTGTATTCATTGTCTACTTTTAGATCTGATAGTTCGACTTCAGTGGAGTTAACTATAAGTTCTGGTAATGCTAGTTCTGTTTCTAAAGAAAGCGTGTAGTTATCTACCCTGCCTATAGATGGTTGAAATCTTATGATGTAAGGTGGTTTATCCAGTTTACTGGCTGTTGTATTCACTAATCCAGGCTTGGCTGGATCTAAATTTAAAACATAAGTGTTAGAAAGTAAAATGTTCAGAATTTGTAAACGTTATACACCGATCTTAGTAGAAATAAATAAAATGAATAATAAAACACCTGCGATACAGATGTTTAAAAGACGATGGGAACTGAAGAAATATTGCTGCCAAAATAATTTAGAATTGTATTAATAAGTCATCTCAAAACATAAATTTTATAATCTAAATAAATACTAATATTAGTTAAACAAAATCTACTACTATAAAGGCATTGATAGTAATCATAAAATCTTATATATTTTCATAATACATTTTATATAAACATGTTAAGACTTATGATTAAGTGTAGAAGTGGTAACCAGTAAATACACATCGCACCTGTGTTATATTATAATGATTACATTTTTAATTCGAATTTGTAATCAATGATACTAAACAAAATTCAAAGTCATTCTATACGTTAGAAAGTATCTTACTGTTATTCGCATGTTAGAGAACCTAAACAATGGAGCTAAGATTATAGAAAAGGAAGTTCATAGCAATGAATAAAATGAGCTAAATACATTTTTGGCTGCCAAAATCTACTCACAAGTTACAATGTCCAAAGCTGAGCTGACGTTTCTGACAGTGTAAAATCCCTGCTGCTGAAGGAACGTGTAGACCGTGATTGTGTAGCTAGTACCTGGTGTTAGACCAGTCACCGTCACACCGCTCTCATTGGCGGCTTGTGTTCCTCTATCTGTTTCATCACTGGCCGACACCCACGACACGCCGTACGTTCTATTGGGTCCAAGTGTGGCGGCTTCCCATTGTAGCTCAACCCCAGTTGTGCTCTTGTTCTTGGCTTGTGGGCGCTGTACATTACACCTAACGGCTGATAGGAGGGGTAAAAATAACAGAACATAGTGCGCTGTTTAGCCATACCTTGTAGTATAAAACAAACTGTCTCCAGCCTAACCCTATATTATTTAATACATATAAATTAATATAACTTTAAAAAATGTTATATTCAACACGGTCAAGTGAATTTTGTATTGTGATACTCGAAACACTTACACCACATATTATATGATATTTAAATCAACTCTCAAGTTTTTGGAATATATATTTTAGTAACAGTAATAAATAATTAGTAAGTAAATTAATACATTGTTAAGTAAATTGAATTGTTAATACGCTTTTACAAATTAAAATGTATGCACAATTATAAATATATTTTGAAGTACGAAAAAAAAAGTTGTTTAAATAGCTGTATTTAGAATCACACACAGAATAATGAAAAACCCTACTAGAAACACATATGCTGTCTTCAAAATAAAACGAATATTCACACAAACATCGTTGAGTTCCATTGACATCAGGCAGACAGTCCAAATATTTGCTTGAGTTACACATAGCAGTTACACTAGTGTCGCAATTAAAAGTGTGATCTAGTACTGGAATTTTTAGAGCATGTTAAATTCAATTATACAAATGTCCATAATTCGAAATGTTTGCTAATTTACTGAGCATTTATCAAAAAGTTAATAAGATTAACAAATACAGAAATACTTTTTTAAATTAACTAATAAGTTAAAATTGATCTTACTAGGGGTAATTTTATTTAAAAAGTACTAAAACTTTTGATTTGTGGTATCAGACATTTAGTAGTTATTATCCGAATAAAAAAATTAACATTATTAATGGAATATATTTCCTTTAAAACAGTTTTGAAAAAATAATATTTTTCTACTTTCACTGCATTACCAGGTTTACACATAACATCAATGGGGTTGTAATAGTAGTCCTGGTAACACGAACACGTCCCATTTAAACACTGCAGGTTACTTTTGCACTGCTGTGTTTCAGTACAGTTTTCTCTAAAATCAATTTCTGTAAAATATGGATAAGGATAATTCAACGGAAATCAGATTTAAAAAAAAAAAAAAAACGCAGCAAATGTACAAATAATTAAAAAGAACTCATCTATAATGTCAGTGCATATTTATTATTTACATTATTATCTTTACGTAATTTGTTTTAGTTCGGAAATTATGTAGGCTGAAAAACTCATAAACGTCAAACAAGATCGGAATGCGAACTCGCAAATATAAACATGCAAATATAAATCTATTTCTTTTATTTTTCATACACCTTTTTAAAAATGTTTATTGTATCAGTATTAGTATAGTAATTTAAAACTTGCATTCCTGGCCATGTCCCACTATATATAAATATACGTCATTTTTCAAAGAACTGCAAAATTGTGGAAATCTCTCAATAATTGAAAGTATGTTGCCGTAGTATTATCTTTATATACGCCTATTATCGTATGTTAAATGTGTGAGCAGTTTAACAGACAGTAACTGTTATAAATATAACATATTTTGGTAAATTATAAATAAATGAGTAAGGGCACTAATTGAAAAAAAGCTTACTTGGGTGACAGGTAACTGTAAAATTGTTGTAAAATGTATCACTTGTACAAATGCAGAAGCTATTAACACACGTCAGGTTATTTCGGCACTGGTCCACTACAGAACATTGTTTAGCGTATGGCAGATCTGACAAACAAGAAGCGATGGTTTGTTTATTAAAAAATATTGAAAGCATAAAACACAATTTATATTAATGGATTTTATAAGTTAGGTTTTTAGCAAAAACGTGAGTATTACAAAATCAAAATGTTTTTGCTTGATTGACACATACCAATTACACTGCTATTCAAATTGTGATATATTCCTTTAATATTTAGCTCTTGAGGAATATTTTACTCAAGTTTTTATAAAAAGTATATCAATATTTCAATGACAAATATTTCATAATTAGCTCTAAAATGTTTTATATATATATATATATATATATATATATATATATATATATATATATATATATATATGTATGTATATATTAAACCTTTACCTCTTATTGTATAACTTATGATGAATCCCCAGTTCGGCATATAGCTTGTGAGTCTTGATGTTATTAAATCGATAAAGACAATGTTGCTGGATAAAAATATGGTAGATGGTGGTGTTTGACTGCATAAAGAAACATTGAAAACAGCTCGGTGACTTTCATCGTCGTATTGAGAAATGAGAACTGCTTCGCAGAGTGACCCGCCAGTATCTGTGAAACTAATATGTAAACACATAAATTATATAAAAGAAGTTTAATTTTATTAGAAATACTGCTGAGGTGTTTTGGTTATAATGGATTTCTCGTTTTTTTGTGACATTTAAAGTAGAGATAAAGGTAGGGAGTTCAGTAATAAAATAAAATGTCTGTTATGGACGGAATAAAATGTAGCAGTTATTGAATAAGGTATGTATTGGTAGTTATAATCAATTGTCAATTGTTTTTATTGTCATTCTCTCAAGATAAGTGTATGTAATTATCCATTTAATTATAAATAATATGAATATATCAGTCGTTTAGGTTAAAAATACATAAACAAAGAACGATAACGTTTATTATATAACAATGATAATTACTTCTGTTTATACTTAATACGCAGTAATGGGATAAAAACAAGCAGTTGAAAAAATGTCATATTTATTTTCACGTAAATGTAAATCTAAAGATAAATAAATAAAAAAAAATTCTAAATGATAAATTGATATTATTTTAAATAATATAATTTAATGGGCAGTCTTCTTTTTCTTCGTTCTTAATTCTAGTGTTGGAAGGTATTCCTTGAAACACAATTTAGTAATACGTTTTAACTTGTTTTAGTCATACAGGGCGTTGACTCCAATTTCAGCCTGCTTTTCTTTCTGGATTTTTTTTTCAATTTTTTTTTGTCTATCCAAGAACAAACTTATAGACAGCAGTTGTTTGGCTTTAGAGTTTTCTCTCAAAGATGGGTAGCGTCCCCTAGCTATCTAGTCTCATCTGCCTTAGTGTTCAAACTCGGGACTTCTGGGTTTAGAAACCATTAACTCCTTAAAATCTATTATAAGCCTTAGTTTTGAAATTCGACACAAATTACAGATGAGTTGCTCTCCCAAGCGGTCGAGGCTCATCTGCTCAGGGGTTTGAACAAAAGATTTTTCGGTTTAGTGACCATGAGTTTTACCGATTCGACCACTCCAACCGCTAATGGTCATTCTAAAGATCTCGTTTCTTACGTTAAAAATATACTAGTCCCAGCATCCCCAACAATTTTCCAAGAGCAATTTGAGTAGTTTCTGTAGCCGTTGGGATAACCCGGTATGTTTACTGTTCCAGAAGTTGTGCTTAAGTAAGTTGTGCAATCTTTGAAAAAAAAAGAAACAAATCAACCGTACTGAACCGATTATATATAACATTATAATTAATTATTTATTTTAACATCAATCTTTTTGGAGTTATCACATAACAAATAAAAGATAAGTAGTCGATAAAAAAAACTGTAAATTGTTATTTTAAATGTTTTCAAAGTGTTATAAAAATATGTGTTGAGTTTATTAAAATTTTAATATATTTTGTAAGTGAACAAACGTTTAAAATACATACTTAATCTTCTAGTTTATTCACATCATTGAGTACAAACTAATCAGGTACTTAATTTATAAAATGTTACCTTATAACTAAGCCAGTTTTAATATTACCTTGTGTGAAGTAGTTACTGTAAAACCCTTTATTAGTAATTGTGTTGTAAGTTCTAAACACGACGTGCATGTAGTTGGATGAAGATACAACATACACTGGTGAACTGCTATAGCAGTACCGTCCTAATGATACACTACTCGTGCTCTGTCCGTCGTAGATTTGGATGCGGTCGGAACAGGAAGTTGGAGAATCGCTCAGATTTAAGATAGTAATGCTATGGAGGGGGATACATTTAAAATAGGTATGTTGAGCAGATGGCAGAATGAACTTAAGTGCAACAATTTTATAATACAGTATTTCATTGAGTTTGATGACGTATTACAGCGGTATTTTAATAATAGCGCGATTTCCTACAATGGGTTACACATTTTTTTACCATTTTGTATTCGTTTCAGTCAAAGACAATCCATGTTGTGAGTTATTTCCATGTTGTATTAGAATGTATTAACAATAGATGTATGGATGATAACAACTTAACAATTATTTGCTAATTTTCATTAACTTATACTTAAAACATTTTCTTTTTCTCAGTTCTTAATAGTCCATGTTGGAAGGAATTTCCTCCAAAATAATTATTACGTGTCAAATTGATAAACTTTTCACTCCGATTTAAACCTGCTTTTCTTTCTTGATTTTTTTGCAATTCATTTGTCCAACTAAGAACAAAGTTAAAGACATCTGTTTTCTGTCAAAAATGAGTAGCTGTTATCAGCTGTCAAGCCTCATCTGCCTAAGCAATCGAACGCGGAACTTCTTGATTTAGAAACCATTAACTTTACCAATCAGTCCACACCGACCCATTAAAATGTATTAAAAACGTTCATTTTTACTAACGCCAAAATTTTTGAAAATTTTTACAAATTGGATAATAAGTATTTTGAATCAACAAAAAGAAGATTAAAGTGTTCCCTTTTCTAATTAACATATGACTTAAACTGCAGTTTAACATTACATACTTGAGTACAACAAAAGTCCTATAGCTGCCTTGTATTGTCCACGAATAGACTTTATTTCTAAGGAAATATTGAGGAAAACCTGGACTAGCGATGTATCCTGCTGATGCTGAAAGTGTAGTTGATGGACCTGGAAAAATTATAAACAAATTAAACTAGAAAACCCACCAGTTTCCCAATATAACTCAATCAGCTGCTCTACACCACACAAAAACGTCTAACTATCCAAGCCATTACCATCCTTATCCCAGCACCCTCGTTACACACAACTTTATACTACACATTATCAACTTACCTATTGTAAACTATATCAAATGCAATGTATTATAAAACTCTTTAATACGTAAGGGTTTACTCAATTTACAAATTAATAAAATGTTCATGAAAAAGTATATAACGTATGTATGACACACAGTATAACTACAAACTAATCACTAATTCCTGAAAAAGCCTCCCTATTTCCTACTCAAAAACGTTGTAATAAATTCAATTCATCAAACCTTTAAGGAAGTTTATAAACGCACTGTATATTTCATATAGTAGTGACTATATTCGAAGACACAAACGTAGATGTGTTTTTTTTTGTGTGTAAATGTCGAATAAGTCTTGTGACGTTCTAAAATAACATGTTGTCCCCACATTCGACATTCATTGACTTTTTTTTATCTTGCTTCCAACTCTTTAGTAGGGTATCGGACAGTTAAAACTGTAAAAGAATGCCTTGAATATTTTTCATAAGACTCAATTTTTAAATTTTATTTTGGTAAATGCCTGTTACTCATTTTGGACTCATATTAAAGCCTATGTTAAAGCAAATTTATCAGAAGATGTTTTTTTTTTTAATATGATGTACTTTGTAAATAAAAAATATGTGCAGCGATAGGCCCTATAACTCAACAATTTTATCATCAATATTTTTAGACTTAGAACACAACAAATGTATACAATAAAAATAACTATTAAATGTTTTTTACAAATGTAATAAAAACTTTTTTTTTTACTTTTGTTTGTTTAAATTAGAATAGTTTTATCATGAAACAGATACATTGATGTTTTCTTAATTGAACGTTTTATTTACCGCGAGAGAATTTGAGAATATTTTATTCCAGTATTGGAAGGGCTACTAAAAATTAGAATGGGAAAGAAATACAAATTTAAAGCAACTTTAAAAGATTAAAAATGAAAAGCAAAACATTGTACAATTTTTCTTAATCGGTTTAAATTCAACGAAACGTTACCATATTTTTTTAACAAGCGATGTCGACATAACTTTAGTAAATAAAGGCTGATTTGACACAAAATAAAAAAAAATGCATGTTTTTCTGTAATATGTTTAATTTTAATTTTATATCTTTTAAAAAAAAATTAGTACAAGTATAGACTGTTTTTTCCCTAGCCAAATTTAAAAAAAAATGTTTCGACCCACATTTTCGTTGAAAATATCTTTAATTAACTTTAAAAACTTAGGAGCTTATCGTACGTGTTTTGTCAAGATTATTGGACATGATTCAATGTTTTTACTTAATTGGTCACCCTAAAACATATATGAGGTACACTTATACATTTGAAGTATTTACTCTAATTAAGCCATGGTTTGTTACTTTAATAATAATTTTTTTTCAACATTTAAAAAATTTGGAGTACAGAAATGATAGTTGTCTGATATGAAAATATACTATGATAATGCTATGCCAAAAAACTTCTGTTTTAACGCTTGTAAAGCCACAGCACCTGTACGGGCCTGTGACACACTATCTAACAGCAAATATTAATATACCAATATATATTATACTAACCCAGATACAGATACGTAGTATACATATTGAGAGATTGATATATATATATGTATATATGTATATATGTATATATGTATATATATATATATATATATATATATATATATATATATATATATATATATATATATATATATATATATATATATATATATATATATATATATATATATGTATATATATATATATATATATATATATATATATATATATATATATACATATATATATATCTATATATATTATTTTTAGCAAAATTAAAGAAGACAGAGTAGAAATAAAATAAATAATATACTTCCGTTGCCCTACCTACGGAAGAAAACGATGCATAAAATCCGCTTTTAGTGACCGAGTAATCAGTTTTAAACACGATGTACATAGAGTTTGACGTAGAGATGATAAGTTTTGGTGCACTAGTGTCACAAACTTTGAATAATAGCGGGGATGTGTCGTAGCTTCCGTCATATATTAGTACATAATCGAATGAACAACTCTCGAATTCAAACGTGCTGAAGCTGTTGTAGAAAGAAAGATTAGTCAGTATAGAATATCTCATACTTTTTGATAACACGTATTATTTGATGTCTCAAAGATGTACTATTGCAAATTAAATAATTAATTGAGGCTAACATGTTTAATTTGAAATAACGAATATTTATATACGCTAATCTAGCGGAATCAACTTACTTAAGAACAATGTAAGTATTGGCGTCTCCCTGTATAGTCCAGTTGTAAGACATGTCATTCAAGTAACCCAGAGGATATCCAGGACTAGATATGAAACCTTTAGACTCGTTCAATATAATCCGGGTACCTTTACATAATGAATTATATTAATTTATTATTATTACGAAATAGAAAATAAATATGAATATCTTAGGTTTATAGGTGGAGACAAAGAGAGAAAGATTAATTTCGATAAAGTAATAAAGAACAAAAGGATGTAATATATACCTAGATGTTTAAAATTAGCGAGAAATCTCCCTCTTCCAGATGAATTAAATACAACAAGCATGAAGTTTGTTGTAGACACTGTCAGTGTTTGCCAAGATGTACAATTTTTACCAAATGTTCTGTTTGATGTCGATGGTCCATCAAATATCTCAATATATCCAGCGGCACAGCTGTCGTCTGTACCCATATCCATGTATGTTATGCTTAAACGAAAATAATTATAAAACTCCACTTACGATATAATTTAATAAACTAATGCGTAAAAACTATATGCAAACTGTTTTACTTCAAAGTTTTGATATATCTCGACGTTTTACAAGCTTCCGTAGCCGGAAGTTTTGCAATAAACACAATAATTAGACTAGCGTTTAGTTATGGGGATATATGGGCCTAATTATTGATTCTCGTTTTGTTTTCATTCAACTTTTTAGCGACGTGGTACTTCCTCTACGTCCATTTTCTAAAAAAAAAATAATTTGAGTAGGTCTCAAGTTAGGTAGACATGATTTCAAATAAAACTAACGCATTTATGCTCAGGTTTGTATACAATTTTAGAACGGTTTTCGGTAAAGCGAAATAGAACTATACTCAATTTCCGTGTGAACACAATAACTTTTTTTTTACAATAAATAGAGAACTGTTTCAGTTAGGTAGATGAAATTTTATTTATAAATATAACATTTTATTCTTTGATTATTTTAATTCCTGTTTAAAATCTGATGCTATTGTGAGGTATTTTACTCTACTTCTGATTTCTAAAGTACCAAAAACTTGAGTACATTTTCATTTTGGTGGACGAAATTGAATTTTAGTTCAACGAAAGTAGTAGGCCCTCTTGTTGGTATGTAAGAAATACCATGGGTTACCAGTCGGGGGGGAATAATTAAACTTTATTTTTGTTGAGGCACATGTGGGACCGCGACTGTTAATGTTATTTTTATGCTCATTGTTGAGCAATGTTTCAACGTTTTTACCATTTCATGTGGTCTTTCACGATTTATTTATTTTTATAACAATAATGGCGGCTTCCATCGCAGGTTTTGTTGCCCATTCAAAAGTTTAAGGCATTATAATGCTAATTTTCTGTTGGCTATATCTTTAACGATACGCCCGTTTTCAATTTTTATTATGTTCAAGCACTATTATCCATTTTCAACAGTTCTTTTAGTGTGAGTATGCAATAAATTTCTCTAGATCTAGAGATCAGCTGTCGGAGGAATGGAAAGTCAATCCTAGATCTAAAATCTAGAATCTAGGTCAAGCTAAAATTAATTTGTTAAAAATAAAAACAATTATAAAATCACAATAAATTATTGAGTTTATCAAATTATGTTATTTCATACATATTTGATATAAATCTTTGCTTTTTAGCTTCAAGGATCATTTAGACTCGAGAATAGATGGGATATATGTATCTAGGTTCTAGATCTAGAGTTACGGAAAAAACTAGACTCTATCTAAATATCCATACTAAACTATTTCAGGCTTTAATTTATTTTATATAAATCTTTGTTTATTTAGCTATGGAATTGGATAATTTGAGATATAGTTTAATTTGAAATAAAAGTGCCTATTCGCATAACTGAAGTTTTTTTACTTCGCAGTTAATTACAGGACTAAGTCTTAACACATTTGTAAGTGCCCACATAGCTAAGATGTTTGTTTTATAGTTACCATGCGGGTGGTACGGGTTAGAGACCCATCACAACTAAACATATTTTAATTTTATTTTTTATTATTTAGATATGAATGATAAAGTTGCCTATTGGGACACAGGACAGGTGAAGTAGAGTTCACCTGCTTCTGTGTCCTCAGCATTTACAGGGATAGTGTGGTCAGAGCCATGCTCGCAAGAAATCTTTTTTTTAACGATAAAAACATAATGTCTGAGATTTGGCCGGACACTGGGCAGGTGAAATAGAGTTGAGTACGTTAAGAGTTTACCTGTGACGTCAGCATATGAAGGGATAGTGTGGTCAGATGCTCAGCCGAAGTCGTTGTTTTTAAAAGACAAAACCTTCTGAGATGTGACGTCTTTTTGAAATTGGGGTCTGGTTTTTAATTTACGAAAGAACCCCGAAACCCACAGTTATCCAAATAATGACGGGTGGTCTAGTGTATAATAAATTTAGCATTTACTTGAAAGCTATGATATTTTCTGGCAATCCTTGAATGGTCCATGTACAGTAAGTCTTGTTAGAACTATAGGGATAACCTGGACTGGTTATCGCTCCTGTTGTAGCCGTCACTGTTGTGTTGCAATCTTCAAAATCAAATTGTTTTTAACTCAAAGGTATACAAACTAAATATCGATTTAATCATCAGTTCTTGAGAACTACTTATCAAGAACAGCAATGTGAAGCTAATTTATTATATAAAAATATGTATTTGTTTTTAAAATAGTGTTTAAGTCGTTTAATGTTTTTGGGTTAAAACTGTAAGGTTAGTTTTAAAACTAAACATTTGTTTTATTCCTATGACAGGAGAAATCAACTAAATTAAAAGCCTTTATAGTTGGGTTTATACAGCAATACTATTAACGCTTCACATACCTGCGACGCATGCCACGGCACATGGGTTGTATGTTGTCCCATATCTACAAGCACATCTGTAGTAGGAGCAAACACCCGTCACACATTGGGAATCGTAACTACAGGACTGATTGTAGCCAATCAAACCCGGGGGCTGTGTGTTACAGACGGGTGATGCCGCATTACTTGATAACTAATAAAAAAAAGTAAATGTTTAACAGTCATTACAAAATAGTTGTGTTCGTAAAACTTGCAAGTAACTGAATTTCAATTTAGTTTTTTTTAAGAAATCAGGAGTGATATCCCCTAAACTTTCTCGTATAATCTTATATTCTTAGTTAATAGTAAGATGCAATCGTGCAATCGAATTTTCTTTTCTTTTTAAATATTTTTTATAATAATATAAAAACGTAGAAAAAAAAACTACACAACAAGTGAACACAAACAAATTGTGTAAAATAGACCTCAAAGCTTGTAAATTTTAAATGGAAACATTGAGTCTCTTTTTCAGAAATTGGAAATAGTTTTAAACACTACTTTCCATCATAGGAAATTACTTAAAATGTGACCGTGTCAACAAAATGTGGTCTACCTACTTGAAACGATACTCATATTATCAGTATTTTATCAACACAACTAGTTCAGTATCACTTCCGGTTATGTCGGCTCAATTGTAATAATCCAAGAATGAAGTCGTAAAATTATTTATGAAGTTTCGTCTTCCTATTGTATTTGATATGATTAAATTTATAACATAATACTTACCAATAAAGAAATCAAAACAGAGGAAACTAAGACAAATTTCATGATATCGCGCTCCATGTTTAAAACTCATACTTAATATTGAGCTTACAGAACCCACAGTTTATGCTTCAATCCACTTGTCGATTTCTGTGTTTCAAACCACACGAAAATGCAACAAGGAAGTAAACTGGGTAAACCAGTCATAAACTTAAGCTGTTATGGCACGATGTAATTATAATAGCAAGAAGCTGAATGAATAACCCAGGCAAACAGGTAATACCGCGCTGTCGTGACTTGCTGCTAAATAAAAGACCGTAATTGTATGCTTGGCTGAATGTCTATTTTCTAACCGGTTATCAAAAAGATTAAGTACTAGTGGCGGACGGTAAGGTTTTCAACAGGGGGCAAACTAGATGTTCTAAGTGGAATTATTTTTTATATAAAATATATAAAAGGAGTTATTGTGTTTAAAGATGTGAAGCGTGAAACAGAACATATTAATGCAGTTTTTCAAAGAGGAGGGGATAGAGGAAGTGTATTTATAAAGAAACAATTGTATTAGTCGGTTCTTAAAGATTTTACCGGGACGTAGTTTCAAAAGATGAACTAATCCTAAAATTGGCATCTTAAAGCTCAACAAAAGAAAACGTTTAAGGAACGTCCTTCTATTTTAACAAGACTAGGCATACAAGACATGGGTCTTCTTCAACTATTAAAATAAAAATTTACATTTCAAGAGATTGTTTTTGAATAATCTAATTCTAATTTTTTATTTAGTTAATACGTTCTGTGTTGTGCGAGATTACCAATCGGTTTACTTAAAAGCTAGAGATGGCTGCGTACAAAACAGTTCACCATGTCTAGATATCATTGTACAATATTTTGTTATCACCGAGCCATCACAACAAGCTACACTCTTGCTTGTTTTCAATACAAAAACTTTAACAAATCAACCATACAATCCTCATTTAGCAGTTTTTTAGATATTATTTTCACTTTTTCTTTGAAACATCAGTTTTCTCTTCTATTTTGATTCTACCATTACTTGCACTTATCAGTTAGCTATATCCATTGAATAGTAGATTAAAGATGTTGAACGAAAATCAAAATGGAATAATTGTAAACATGAAAATTTGAATAATTGTTTTTTCATTGGTACTATAGCGAACCAGATACTACGATGTACCAGCTGAGGAAGGAATGTCTGCTTCAAAATTTTATGTCCCAAATACCCCTAAGGTCAAGCCTTGTACTGGACGGTGGGGTACGAGTTTACCCTGCGTTCAGTAAAGGTGGGAGATACGCGTTGTGAGAACCAAAGGACAGAAGCGCCCTATACACGGTAATCAAAACTGTATCCAAGCCACTTAGTCGGAGTTTCTTGAGGCCTGTCTGGCTAATGGGAGACAACTCGAGCCGCCGATGTCCGTAAAGAAAGAAAGAATGAAAGAAAGAAAGAAAGAAAGAAAGAAAGAAAGAAAGAAAGAAAGAAAGAAAGAAAGAAAGAAAGAAAGAAAGAAAGAAAGAAAGAAAGAAAGAAAGAAAGAAAGAAAGAAAGAAAGAAAGAAAGACAGAAAGACAGAAAGACAGAAAGACAGAAAGACAGAAAGACAGAAAGACAGAAAGACAGAAAGACAGAAAGACAAAAAGACAGAAAGACAGAAAGACAGAAAGACAGAAAGACAGAAAGACAGAAAGACAGAAAGACAGAAAGACAGAAAGACAGAAAGAAACAAAGATAGAAAGAAAGAAAACAGGAAAGAAAGAAACAAAGCTTGGATCAAAGATATGGAAGAGCAGCTCAGCACAAAAATATCTTTATGTCATTTGACGTAAGGGACTCCACCCACTTACGACACTGCAACCTTGAAGACTTCCTCAATAATCTCACGCTTCAGTAACGATATTTTGTTATGTGTTCCTGGTTTAAAAAAAAAAAATCTCCAACGTAAAAATAGAGTACCCAGTAACCGGTAATTACGTCACAATAGCCATGTCGGCTTGAATAAGACGAAACCAGGGTGTTTAAACTCAACCGACGATTCTACAAGCCCTTTACAGAAGCTCAACGAAGACGATCTATTAACATGCTATTTCATCAATGTCTTTGGTATTTGTCAAATCTGTAGCTTAAATTGTGTCCAATTATAATTTCGTACCAACTTTTCAAATACCTTCTTCTTTGATGACAATGAAATCATTTACATTTTGAAATCTCATTCCATAGACAATTACTTTTTAAATTGTACTTTTAAAGACTTTTAAAGACTTTTATATCCGAGGCGATAACTCGATCAGTTTGTTTACAACGGTGAAGTGTTTAACACGGTTGGCTGACCACGAACTAAGTCGGACACAATAATATATGTGTTACTTATTTATTTTTAGTTTCGAAAAATGAATACCGCTTGTAATTTTCTATGAAAGCATACACGGTCAGAAATATCTATGATATTCATATCTAGAAAAAAGACAAAAAAACAACAAAACAACAATACAATAAAAATTTACGCTCTAGCAGTAATAATAACAATAATAATAACAATAATAATAATAACAACAATAATAATAATAATAATAATAATAATAATAATAGTAATAATAATAATAATAATAATAATAATAATAATAATAATAATAATAATAATAATAATAATAATAATAATAATAATAATAATAATAATTATAATTATAATTATAATTATAATTATAATTATAATTATAATTATAATAATAATAATAATTATAATTATAATTATAATTATAATTATAATTATAATTATAATTATAATTATAATTATAATTATAATTATAATTATAATTATAATTATAATTATAATTATAATTATAATTATAATTATTATTTATAATAATAATAATGATAGTGCGCAATATTATTAGTACTTTAAAAATGTACATTAGTTTTTTGAGAAATCGGAAGTAGCGTAAATTACTACTTCCGTTCAACGGAAATGACTCAAAATTTAACAGAAGGTAGAGAATTAGATCTTTTACTTACATGTGAAATTTCGTTTATCTATCTGAAATAGTACTCAAGTTATAGGCTTTTGAAAATTTCAAAGTAGGAAAAGTACCACTTTCGGTTATCGGAAATCGCTCAAAAGTTGATACGGATCTACGATTTTGATAAAATACTTATATATGAAATTTCATCAACCTAGCTGTAACGGTACTCAAGTTATCGTGTTTACACACACACACACACACACACACACACACACAGACACACAGACATACGGACAGAATTGCAAAGTCCAGTTTTTCAGACTGGATTACGCATAAAACCTCTTAATTTTGATAAATCTGGATTGATAATTTTTGCCCGATTAAAATAAGTCCTCTATACATCGGATGTGATGAAGGACTGAGGTGTAATACGGTGAAAATTGTTAAAATTTCAAGTGATTTTTGTGCACGATTACAATACTTTCTCTATACTTCGTATATACGAGAAAGTAAAAAACGAAGTAATAAAAATTAATAAAATAAAGTTATTTCTTTTAAAAATCGAAAGAAGTTGTTAAACAAAACTGTATTGTCATCGCTTTTATTTTACTAAACAAATTTTGTTATTTTATCAAGTGTTATTTCAATCTTAGCTTCGTATAAAAATAAAGATATAATTATGCTACTATTATATATTTTAATTTGATTTTGTGTTGAATCTAAAAACACTCTGAGTGTTCTAGCTCTGGAAATTGACCTTTAGATATAATGAGATGTAAGAATGCTTTAGCTGAATATTGTGTATGGTTAGCAACACGATATTATCTTAATTGGTTTTTAAAGCTGTTATCGTTAAGAATAAAACGAATTCTTACTTTAAATGCACCTTTCGATAATAATACATAATATTACTGTAACTATTCAAGGTAATCTATAGACACATATTTCGAGTGAGACGGTGTATCACATTCCACATTAAATAACGTTTTAAGAAAACTACTAAAAGAGCTATAAAAC